CCGACGACTACGCCGTACGACGACGAAGAAGACGAAGGAAAATTCTTTCCCCCCACTACATATTGTTTACCACTGTTTTTCCCCCAAAAAGCAAAGTTTTTCCCCTCCCCGAGAGCATACAACAAACGCGAGGCAACGAATTCAGTTTCGCTCGAGACACAGACGTTGACGCCTCGCTCGAAAAAAAAGAGCATAGTATTCGACCATGGACGTAGTGATCGAGTTGCAAGGTTTCCGTGATATCGACAAGAAGAAATTCATCGCGAAAGAAATCGCACTTGTCGCGATTCAGGAGCCGATCATCGGACACTGGATCTTAACGCCACCTTATCCGTTTGAAGATTTACCCGAGAGATCGAGGCTAGAAAACAATTGGCTCTCGAGAAATTATCACGGCATCGAGTGGTTCGACGGTGAAACCAATCTCGAATGTTTCACCCTACATCTACGACGAATCACCCGACTAGCACGCAACATCTATACCAGGGGACGGGAAAAAGCTCATTACCTGCGTCAATTGCTCTCCAGAAACATATATAATCTGGAAATAATCTCACCGCCGTTCAAAAATCTGCCCGAAGACGGAGAGTGCGGAAGACAACGCTGCGCGCACCACGCGCTTCAATTCCTCCCCAGTGACCGATATAATTGCGCGTTACACAACGCCTGCAAATTGAAACGCTGGCTGCTCGTGCGAAACGCCGACGTACGGCCTAGCGACGACGCGCAGCTCAAAAGCCGAGGCGAAGCCGACAAAACAGAGAACGACTACGTTCCTATGAAGAGTAAAAATTTCAACGGCGACACAAGGAAAGAAGAAGAAGAAGAAGAAGAAGAGCCGTGCCACCACTCGGCGAACGCCTATTACATACCGAGCGTCAAAAGAGATCGCCAAGGACCGCAACGCCGCACAAACCACCTTCTCGCTATCGGCAGACGACGGCAACGGCTCGACAACGAGACCACCGGCGACAGAGGTAAACTCCGACGTCCTACAAACAATCCCTGCGCTGCGTAAATATGAATTCGTTGGAAATCTTACAAGCACTGGGCCATCTGCGTGTCAGATATGCGGGAGTCTATCCTGCCGACAGACTGCCGAGGGTGTGGACGAGGTCGACCGCTATCGTCGCTAACACAGACAACCACGATCGACCTGGCCGGCACTGGGTCGCCTTCTACGTCGACGAACACGGCACCGGAACGTATTTCGACAGCTACTGACTCCCCCCCTTGGACCCCAGATTCCTCCTACGTCTACGTCGAAACTCCACCACCCACCGATGGAACACCGCCACCCTGCAAGGAATACTCTCTCAAACCTGCGGACACTACTGCTGCGTATTTCTATATTTTATGTCTAACGGTTATAATCCTGGGCAGTTTCTTAATCTATTTACCGATGATTGTGAACGCAATGACCGACTGATTGTACAACTATTTCGTAAAATTTTTCTTTACAATAAAAACGAATGCGTAAAACCCCGCGCTGTATGCTGTAACGTTCAATCGTGTAGTATTAAAAAATCGCAACTCTTATAAAATCATCGTATGTACAATTTCCCAACATGTTCATTCGTACATAATTACATTCTCGTAATAAAAGCTTATGTAACCCCGACTCTCGTCTACTTCTTTCACCCTGCGACCTTCTCTCTCGTAACTCCAATACCATCGCGTATAACAAAGAAACCTGTTCATTCCTGTTTTGCTCCGGTCAAACGCCCTCCCCCTCCTCACGGCGCCATCGGACCCACGTTAAACGCACGACATAGCACCGCTCCCAAAGAAACCTGTTCATTCCTGTTTTTCCTCCGGTCAATTCCCCTCCCCCACCTCACGGCGCCAACGGTCCCACGCTAAACGCACGTCCTAGCACCGTGCCCGTGTTTCCCTCTCCCCCGCTGGGAAAACTTCTCATTTCCACCCTACTTGCCACACCATTTTTCTGTCTGACCCACACGCCATCTTGTCGGCCCCCCCTCCGCGCAAAGGAAAACTTCTCATCTCGACCCTACTAGCCACGATCACACACCCGCGCCATTTTTTTTGCCAGGCCCGCACGCCATCTTGTCGGGACCCCATTTTGTTGCCCCTCCCACGAAAGCCACCAGACAATAAAACCGCTGGGCAGTTATGGGAGCAGCCAATCAAATCGCCGGGCAGCTATGGGAGCAGCCAATCAAATCGCTGGGCAGCTATGGGAGCAGCCAATCAGAGCTCAGCTTCCCCCACCCCTCCCCCGACCACGCCCCCCGGCCACGCCCCTGGCGCCAGTCAGTGACGTCACGTCTGTCGCCCCATAGTCCTCCCATATACTACTGATGTGTAACAGTACGTATGTACGCTGGCCGCATCCAATGCGGTCAGTTTTAGTTGAGATGGCAACGCTTTGCTCGAGGTGGCAACGCCTTGGGGTATCGGGCCTCGAGCCACGTCGAGTGAGTCTTTCTCTGTAATACGCCTTGCTCGAAGTGGCAACGCTTTGGGGTATCGGGCCCCGAGCCACGTCGAGTGAATCTTTCTCTGTGATACGCCTTTCTCGAGGTGGCAACGCCTGGGGGTATCGGACCCTGAGCCACGTCGATT